GAACACAGAGTACTTGCTTTTTTTTCTTTTGTTTTGTTTTTTGTTTTTTGTTTTTTGTTTTTTTTGTTTTTGTTTTTGTTTTTTTTTTTGCTTTTGGTCATGGTGGGTTTTTTCTCTCCTTTTTTTATTTATCTTTTAGGCATGTTACTCTCAGTTCCCGCTCCTTTCCTCCTCCCCTGGACCCACAATCCTCTCAAGCCCCACCCTACTCCATCTCCCCTCCACTTCTCAGGGAGGGTAAGGGCTTCCATGAGGGATTTTCAGAGTCTGCCACATCATCCAGGGCAGGGCCTAGGTCCTCCCCTATGTGTCCAGACTGAGAGATCATCCCTCCATGTGGAATGGGCTCCCAAAGTCTATTTGAATGCCAGGAATAAATACTTTCCTATTCCCCAAGGTCCCATAGATTGCCGAGGCCTCTTCTCTGAAACCCAGGTTGGGGGAGGTGGTCTGGATCCGTGTCATGCTGGCCTCTCAGTCTTCAGTCTGGGGTCCATGCGTTCATGGGGTCAGTTGCCTCTATGGGTTTCCCTACCCTGATCTGGATTCTTTTGCTCAACACTCCTCTTTGCAATTGGGTTCCAGGAATTCAGTTAAATTTTTAGCTGTGGGTGTCTGCCTCTGCTTCCATCAGCCCCTGGATGAGGGTTCTAGGATGGCATATAAGGAAGTCATTAATCTCATTATCATGGGAGGGCATTTAAGGTAGCCTTAATGCCAGTTGGTGTCATTCTTGAAGATCTCTGAAGATCTCACTAATGCCAGATCTCTTCTCCAACTTATAATGGCTCTCTCTGTTATGGTATCTCTCATCCTTCTCTCCTCTATTCTTACCCTGGCTCAACCTCCTGCCCCCCCCCATGTCCTCCTCTCCCCTCCTCATCTCCCCATCTCTTTCTCCGATCCCTTCTCCACTCCCCTCCCTCAATCCAATTAGGAGATCTCATCCCATAACCCTTCTCGAGGTTACCATGAATCTCTATTTAAGTGTCCTCCCTGCTTTCCAGACTCTCTGCCCTGCTCCACGTTTAAAATCCATATATGAGTGAGTACATACCATGTTACCTGTACTCCACAAAATTTGAAAATTTAAAGGAAATGGATGATTTTATGGATAGATATCACTTGCCAAAATTAAATCAAATTCAGATAAGCATTCTTAATAGACCTGTAACCCCTAATGAAATAGAAGCAGTCATCAAAAGTCTCACAACCAAAAAAAATACCCTGGCCCAGAAGGCTTCAGTGCAGGATTCTGACAAAAATTCAAAGAAGAGTTAACTCCAATACTCCTCAAACTGTTCCACACAATAGAAGCAAGAGGTTCACTGCCAAACTCTTCAATTACCTTGGTACCCAAGCCACAGAAAGACAAAACTAAGAAAGAGAACTACAGACCAATTTCTGTCATGAACATTGATGCAAAAATACGCAATAAAATACTAGCAAATCAAATCTGAGGACACATCAGAAAAATCATCCACGTGATCAAGTAGACTTCTTTTTTTCTTATCTAAGTATGGTAAATTTTGTTTAAACTTTGTCCTGATTTATTTCATTTTGATTAAAGTATAGTGACATTAGCTCCTCTGTTCCTTTTCCATTCTCAGGTCTCCCACATGTGCCCCTCTTACTTCTCAGCTTCACATCTCTTTTCTTTATTATTATAACACACACACACACACACACACACACACACACACACACACACACACACATGACTGCCTTATGCTTGGGAAATCAGTTTCAGTACCCTGGTCTCACTGTGGGGAAACAGAACAGTTCATCTTTCTACCAGTGTTCAGGAATGCCCAATATCCCAGTTCCTGGTGCTTATGAATGGGTCCTCATGTAGCAAAGGTCATATCTTCATAAAACTCTTGGAACAGTGCATGACACATAGGGAAACATCCCGGAGCTCCACTCTTCAAATCTCCAGCAGCAGAGCTGTGATCTCCATCTTGGTTTTTTGTTTTGTTTTGTTTTGGTTTGGTTTGGTTTTTACGAGACATGGTTTCTCTGTATTGTTTTGGAGGCTATCTGTCCAGCCGGCCTTGAACTCACAGAGATCTGCCTGCCGAGTGCCGGGATTCAAGGCGTGCACCACCATCGCCCGGCTCCATCTTGTTCTTATTGTAAATTTTTAAGTATACTGTCAAGCTAACTATCTTAAATATTGTGAAATGACAGATAAAATTAAGGGATTGGAAATTTACTCATATAAAGCAGGATTTTATTTTGTTTCAAATCCTTTGTTGAATTTCTGTTGAACATTTGAAATATGGAAAGAAAAGCACCTCTGTTGGTTACGGCTTTGACCTCTAAGAGAGTTCACATATTTAGTAGGTAGCAATTAAGTAATTTACTGGAGAGATTTATATGTGCGTATGCAGAAGTGATTGGTACTTTTGCAAATAGCTGTTGCAACTAAATTAAAAAAGGTACTTGTGTACAGATGAGTTCATACTTTCTGGCCATGTTTCTTTGCAATCTCCACAGATGTGGATTTTACATTTTAAAAGAATTAAATCCTTTTCCCAAGTAAAGGTGTTTATATAAAATCTTTATTCTATTGTGGTGATACATTTTACATTTCATATGAATTCTTATTGAAATAATATTTTTAGTGATATTTTAAACATCTTATTAAAACAAGAATCATTGCATGTGGCTATTTTGGACATTTATTTTATTTAGATCAGTGGTTCAGTAACTTTATGGTTGGGGTCAGTGCAACATAAGGAACTGTACTAAAGGGTAGCAGCATTAGGTAGATTGAGAACCACTGATTTAGAGTGACCATAAGGTTTAGTGACACTACAGTCAGTGTTTTACTATAAATAATAGTACTCAGATGTGAGCACAGAAGTAATACTAATGCTCATATATATTAATATAATATGTTAATCATTTTATCAATGTATTATCTATATAAGTAATTATAATATTCATTAATTAATTATAAATAATTATGACTGTTTAACTGTTTTAGTACTTACTGTACTTGGTGGTAGACTAATACATGTAATCATAAATAATATCACAAATAAATGAGCATGTACAGGAACAGTCCAGGACCAGAGAACAGCCAGCTGTTGATCTCAATGAAGCTGAATGTAAGTGCCTTGTCTTTGATGCCATAATGAAACTATAACACATAGGCATATTACATGAAAGCTTTGTGCTTCTGAAAGAATTTGTAAAGAACTTTAAAGTTTCTGAAGGTATTCCACTTATTGAAAAACCATAGGCTATAGAAACATTACAAATCCAGTACCCTTCGAATGCTATCAGCACACACATTTGTGCATTGCAAGATGGCAAAACATTCTGGAGGCACAGATTTGAAGCAGGAGGGAAATGGCTCACTGCTACTGGTTCAGCTGTGTGGATTCAAAGAAGGCAATGTCCCTGCTTTTGTCATCCGTGCCCCTAAAGGGACTTCCTTGTTACCTATCTCAATCAGTATGTATCTGAAGCTTCTAACTATATATAATTCTAAATATAATATAAAATATATTTCTACACAGACAACATATTAATATAATTAATCATGTCATAATTATATGTTACATAGATGGATGAGATGCCTGAGTCATTTACACAGAACCAAGAAAAAACAGAGTCATTTAGTTATCTACATGAACTAAATGAGCATGTACAGGAACAGTTCAGGACCAGAGAACAGCCAGCTGTTGATCTCAATGAAGCTGAATGTAAGTGCCTTGCCTTTGGTCACTGAGACAGGAGATGTTTCAGTCTGATGTACAGCCAGGTTTGTAAACCCTCAGTATAATTGAAAAATTATTATAGTTTGTTCTCTAAGTTTCCCTAAGTAAATAAAAAATTTAAGAATGCACACACAAACACGTTATAAAAAGAATTTATAGAATTAGAGGTAACATTTAAAAATTTCGATGATTCAAAAGTAGATGGTGGTGACTCTGAGGTTTTTTCTTCAAAATGAGAAAACTGAGGCTAAAGCTGTTGTTTGTATGCTATAAGGTCATAATTAAATGTTATTGCAGATTTAACCTCTAACACTCTCTTCTATTCTCTCAGGCTGTTGAGGGTGCTGACCTTCTAGAATGTCTTACAATATCAACCTTCTCTAGTAAATTTAAAATGTGGCTAAATTCACAACACTTGATGTATATTAGGAGTCTGTCTATTTCCATATGTATAATAAACTATATTACATATGTGTGTTGTGTTCTTTATTATAGCAAACTACTAGACAGTTTAGGGAGATTTCATGTTTATGTACAGTAAGCAAGGAAACTTCCTGCAACATGACAGTAAAGCTCGGCAGCAGGCTTTTAAAAGGATGAAGTGACAGAAAGTTTTGCTAATAGGATGGTTTTATTATTACTATTAGCATCTGATGGTAAGCTTGGCCTAGATGTACACATCTGCTATCTCAACACTTAGAAGGCTGAGGCAGGAGCATCACAATGTTGAAGGCTAGCTTAGGGGATGCCAGTGAGACCCTGTCTCAAAAAACAAAGCCTCATTGTGAATTTAAATTGGAGGCAATTCCATTTCCCTACATTGTGTCTTACAGGTATTGTTGATGGGTATTCAGATGAAAAAATTCTTTTGGAAAGAGAAATTCAGGAAAAGGCCTGCATAGTAGATCATATAGATCAGGAGTTGCTATGCATGAGCGGGAGACTTCCAAAACTTGAAGAAGAGCAACAGCAAATACAGGAGGAGCGAGCTTTGCTGTCCAGGCAGAAGGAGGCCATGGGAGCAGGGGCTGGCCCAGTGGAGCAGCGTATGTACTGAGACTTTGTGTCTTATAGTTCCTCTCCTGTCTTTACTCTTCAGATGCTTATGTGACAGACTATCCTCTCCAGTGCTGTTATTACAAACTTGAAAAATCATAAAATGCACTTTAAAGGCAAATGAATTAATAGCCATTTTCATTTTTCATGTAATCATATCTTCTCTTTTGCCTTTTAAGGCTTTAACTGTTAACAGGACAATAGAATTATTCATTTCTGCTCACACATCTGTATCAAAAAGAAAAAAGCTACATTTATTGAGGCTGCATGCTTAGGAAATGGGTAAAGAGAGATCTTTTATTGGGAGAGAGGTCATGAGTATGTTGTGAACCCTCATCGCTGCTGGTCATGGGCAGGTGTGGGCAGTGTGGGCTTGCCAGCCAGAGAGAGCAGAAGACATCTGACATCTCCTTTAGAAGCATTCACAGAACATTTAACTTCATAATGGCTGATTGTTACATCTTGATTTTATAGCTTGTTGAGTGGGAAATATGTGTCTTTGTGTTTGTGACTATGGACTTTAAAATCCTACTTATCCAACCTTCTTTGATTTTAAATGTATAGTTTGGATCTATAAATTTGGAGTTTCTCTAGTTTTATCAGCATAGAAATAAAACATACATTTTCCCCTTTGTGGGGGGGGGGTTGCTCAAATAGTTTGTCACAGGTTTAGGGCTGGAATTTTAAAGGTTTAAAGGTCTCATGTCATACATACAACATATGCAAGAGATGTGGAACTGTGGGTAGCAGTGACATCAGCATTTTAATGTGTGCAGATGTGAATTATTGTATTTCAGGGAGATGGAGACATGAGTATAGTTTTGTTTCCTCTCCTAGGGCCAGCAGATGTTGAGGTCGATGCAGCTCCTGGAGCAGGTGTGTGCACAGTTGCATGCACTGTTGTTGGGTGGGAGACTCACAACTCAAAATTTGGGTGACCCTAGATTTTCAACTAACATTTCTAATTTATAGATGTCTGTTGTGTTCCTTTCATTTTCTTTTAACAGAACACAGCTTAATTTACAATGAAATATGTTGTGGCTTGCTATTAACACCTGAGGTTCATACTTACCTCAAATATTATCTTATTTCTTCTGTTTTTGCACAGAGCCCAAAACCATTTTGATTTTTCAAAAGAAAATGTTGAGTCTCTTTAAGAAACAAAGTATTTTTTCTTTTCTAAAAATGCATTATTTTTTGTTTATTTCTTTTTTTTGAAACAATGTTTTTAAAAATACCCATCCCAGTTCCCTCTACTCCTCACCCTCCCACTCACATCACCATCTCCCCTCCCCCCATCCACTGCTCTGAGAGGGTGAGGCCTCCAATGGGGAGTCATCAAAGCCTGTTATATCATTCGGGGCAGGGCCAACACCCTCTCTCCTGTATCTTGGCCAAGCAGGGTATCCATCCGTAGGGAATGGGCTCTAAAAATCCAGTTCATGTACTAGGGATAATTACAGATTTCACTACCAGCAGCCGCATAGACTGCCCACACCCCCTAACTTTCACCCACATTCAGGGAGCGTGGTTCAGTCTTATACAGGTTCCCCAGCTGTCGGTCTTGAGTCAGCTCCTACTTGCTTGGGGAAGCTGTATCTGTCGGTTTACCCAACATGGTCTTGACCACTTAGCTCATATTATTGTTCCTCCCTCTTTTTTTCAGTTGGACTCCAAAAGTTCTGCCCAGTACTTAACTGTGGATCTTTGTAACTGCTTCCAACAGTTACTGGATGAAGGCACTATAATGTCAGTTAAGGTAGTCATCAACCTGATTACAGGGGAAGGGTAGTTAAGGAAGCCTCTCCACTGTTGCTTAGGTTCTTCATTGGGGTCATCCTTGTGGATTCCTGGGAAAGTCCCTAGTGCTAGGTTTCACAACCCTCATAATGGCTCCCTCTATCAATTTCTCTTTCCTTGCTCTCCCTCTCTGTCATTCCCCCACAGGAGGGAAAGCTTATCTGTTAAAGGGTAGCCTCACATCCAAAGCGAAACAAATTGTTTTTATTTTTTGAATATATTAAGTCTCCGTTCTCTGATTTTTTTTCATAGTTTTCCTTGCAAAACACAGAAGTTGTTAAGCTCATGGTATCAAATGGATACGTTCATTTACTAAGAAGCATTTTGTCTGGTTTGCTTTGATATTAACATATAATAATGACAATATTTTAGGAAAGATATTTTCTATAGATCCCAGATCTGAACACAGTGTTGCCACATTAGTCAGTGTAATAATTCTACAACGTTATGTTCTCCGTTTGTTTTTGCTATCTATACTTTATCACCTACATTAACAACAGCTAATCCTCACAAGGTCCTTTCTATACCCCAGACTCTAATCTTTACACTCATTAGTTCATTTCATCCCCAATTGCTCACACAACAAAACTGAAGACCATCTTATCAAATGTCACACATGAGAAAAGTAGTAGACGTAGGAAATGAATCTGCTCTCATGCACTAACCACATGGATCCCCATATGTGCTTGTGTTCCCTTGTTGCACAAACTTGTAAACATGAAGACGGAGCTCAGGGATATGGACCTAATGTGATAAAGTACAAGACTAATCAGAAACCCTGACTGTCATCTCCTTCCTCTTTCTGTTCCCTTTTCTCAGTTAACATTTTAAGAGTATCTGCTTACTGTATTCACTGTGTATGCACATACAGGTGAGTATTTGCTTTGGAATGTACTTAGTTTTGCCTATGGTCAAAAATGTGGTCAGTGCTTTACGTTTTAATTCAACTGAACTTTGTTCTTTTCCTAATCATAAAAATGTTTTATTCTGTATTTACTACATTGTTCTCACAAACATACTTTTTGTAACAGAAACTCTGAACAAAGGACACATGGACCAGGAGCAACTGCACACTGTACCTATGGAAAGTGTTGGCATGGCTGCCGATGAGCTCCAGGCTGATGCACTGCAGCCTGAAGATGTCTCTGCCCAGGACTCTTCTGAGCTTCTAAAGACCCTGACTCCTGTCGGTGGCCTTAAACAAAACTGCAAAGGTTACCGAAGTCAGGAAGCACAGTTACTAACCCTGGAGCAAGGAAAGTCAAAACCAGAACTTCTTCAAAAGAAGATCAATATTCTTCAAAATTTACTAGTAGAGAAAATAGCTGAAGCCACCGTTAGTCAAGCTCAACTGGAGGCCTTTCAGCAGTACGTGAAGTACCTCCAAGAGAAGAGAACATCAGAACTAGAAATGACAGATAGGTACAATGTAAATCCTCTGACAGGAGACAACACAGTATTAGACATCTACACATTAAGTATGAGACTAGAACAGTTAGAGAACCAAGTAGCTGAAATGCGTTCTAGTTTCATTGCAGAGAAAAAACAACTCGAAATTACAAAGAAAAGGGTTTCTGATATAGAAAACATACTGAAGCTACAGATGCCTCTAGATGAGGACACTACAAAAAGGCAGGAGATTAAAGAAAATGAAAGAAGCCTTCAAGATTTGGATATATCTGAGGTTAGTTTTCACTCAAGATTTGAATATCTCTGATGTTAGTTTTCAGTGTGATTTTTTCAATTAAATGATCTAGGTAACTCCTTCTTTGTTCATTAAGTTGACTGATACTTTACTAATAAGTCTGGTATTTGGTTCATATCAAACAACTTATATGTAGTGAGACTTCAGGAGAATACACTGTTCCTAAAGCAGAGGATTCAGTTCATTTCACTCAAACATTTTGGTTCATGAAATTTGTGGCACTTGGGCTCAGAAAGCTCCACTTTGAGATAGTGGGGTTACTTCCAGACAGAACTCCCAATAAGGTAGAGGGGTACCTTGAATGGTTATGGAAAAGGCTTTTGGATGACCTGATTGGCTACCTGAGGCCCAGCTGCTCACAATTGGCCCCATGAGGTTTAGCTGTCTTATTCCTCCCATGTTAGACTTGTCATTTGCTGACAGACTATATTAGATGCTGTTCCCAACACTAGAAAAAAGCTATAGACACAGGTCAAATTATGTTTAACACTGTGTGTAGTTTTATTACCATCATAGAGGCAAGTGAAAACTATGTTCTGTGGTCTTCAAATATGATTACCAGTTGTAGTAGTAAAGTTACTCACTGAAACAAAAGAAATATAAAAATACTGCATGGAAGCTGAATTTTCTTAGACTTATGTGATTTACTGCCTTAGATTCTTTATAGTACATATCCTTTGTAGCCATCTCCATAAGAAGTGAAAAGTTTTCACAGTAATATTCTACTAAGCTCTTAGAAATTGTATACCTGGTGAGTTTTCCTTGTTTCTAGGGGGAAAATGTGTTGGAAATCTTATTAGAGATCTGATACCATAATTATTTCTTACCACACAAAAGACAACACAAAGAATGAGTTTCTCAGTATTTACAATCTAAAATAATAGAAATGTGGTATTTATAATAATTAATTTATATTTCAAATGGTAGTATTTTCACATATGGGACTTTTCCTACAATCACTTGCAACTATTTTACTGTGGGTACTAAATATTAAAATAGTAGTAAGACTTCCCCCCTAAAGCATCTAAGAGATATCTTAGCCAATTCTGGCAGATTTTGAGAAACATGATATAAATTTGTAATTTTGAATGGCAATAACATATGTTAACACACACACACACATATATGACATGATTTTATCCTCTGAAAATTGGTTTTATTATTTCCATAGAAAGTGATGTTTCTGAAAAACATCCTTGCCGATTTTAACAAGCACTGGCATATTGTCCTCTGACTGGAGGCAGCCATCCTTAGCAAAAGTATATTATAGTGTAGGAGTGATTTGGACAGTCATGTTTCTCATGGTTTCTGAATGGTCTTCTCATTCCAACTCTCACTCAGACAAGAGTTGATGTCATTCATGCCAGTGGAGACCGTGGATTTTTGGATGAACTTGAAGCTCTTGGAGCCAGATCGGTGTCTCACAAAGAACGAGACCGTTATAAAGAACAAGCATACAGCCATGAAGAGCTTTTGGTAAGATGAGCAACACAGCCCCTAATGCATCCAGTTCTACCTCTCTTCATTTCCTCTCAGTGCTTTCCCTAGATGTGTACCTTAACCATCAGTAGCAGGGAAAGTCTTTGGATTTAAAGAAAACTTCCATTGCTACATTTCTTTATCAGTGCTTGCTTGTTTGGTTGTCCTTGGGAATACTGGCTGAGGGGATGCATTTATTCTATATGCTGTGATGGAGGAGAAATGTGTGTTTTAAGCAGAACCAAAGATGTCATGAAAACAAAATGTGACAGTATAAGTGCACTTCTCCCTGTTCTGACCACAGTGTGGACAAAGTGTGTGGAGACTGTGAGGACTGTGGGTGATTTTCCTGTTTCCATGCAAGTGGGACTTGAAGCATAAACTGTGCTCTCTGTGTTCATCCTTAGATTGTTTGTTTGGGGGGGCTTTGCTTTGTTTATTTGATTAGAGAACACAGGACAAATTAGTCTGTACACTGCAGATGTTTCAAGGTTGCTAAAGACTTATTAGTGACACTTTTCATTTTCCTGGAAAGAACATTTGGTGAATTTTTATGTAAGGTCCCTATGTTAGATATCATAGTAATATTCATCACTCTTGCCAAGATTATTGTGCTGTGTAGAATGCTTTGGCCCAGAGAGATATCTCAGCAGGTAAGGACATTGACTGCCCAGCCCAGCAACCTCAGTCTGACCCTGAAACCCACATGGTGGGAGGAGAAAACCAATCCCCACAGATTGTCCTCTGTCTCGCACATGCTCACTGTGGAGCGGAAGCATGTACACAGACACAACCAACGAGTAAGTAAATAAATAATCAAAACAAGATTGTTCGGCTTTCTAGGAAATTCACAGCAATGTTTAGAAATTAAGGCCCATCTGTCAGCAACAGACCCACACAAATTGTTTTTTGGACAAAAATGTTTGAGAAATTTCAATAACAAATTTGATCCTGGGGGCAGGGCAGGGCAGAGTGGCTCATGCCTTTAATCCCAGCACTTGGAATGCAGAGGTAGGTGCATCTCTGTGAGTTCAAAGCCAGCCTGGTCTACAAGAGCTAATTCCAAGACAGTTAGATGTACACGGAGAAACTCTGTCTTGAAAAAAAAAGAATTACCATGTGCATTCTGTTCTTTCTCATTCAGACTTCCTGGTTGTTAATTCCATTATCTCTATACCTCTCTTCACTTAATTTTTCATTTTCCTTTGTTACAGGGCAGTGAATACGGAACACCTGTGGAATGTCTCCAGACATCTGACAGAAGGACTGTGTCAGCTGAAAATCACACATTAAATATGCAAATTAATGGAAGGAAAATGAATGGGACCAGAGAACGAGACACTTCAAGCCAAAGTGTTTGCATGAGCACTAGCATGGATTTACAGCCAGCTGGAAGCATTCAGTTTGTTGCTCCGTAAAAATGTTTTATTCAGGCAAATTATCTCATTGCACACAGGAGATAATTGATAGTATTACTATCAGTGTTAATAGTTGTCAAATTGGTTTTAAATATCTATGTTTTATTTTAAATAAAGAAGTAGTACGTTGATATGGTTCAGCTCTTTCATTTTTCTTCACTGTAAAGTTTTTTTTTGAGAAAAGTCTTTTGATCCTCTCAAGATGTCTACATAAAAAGATATTCACAATAAAAATAGCTGTTTATTTTTAATTTTTTGCTTGAAAAAAGGTAATGTGTAGTATCCATACAGAAAGTTACAAAATTCAGACCCAAACTATAAAAAATTATAAAATGTATATATGGGAACATTACTTACACGTCAAGAGGAACTTTTCCTTATTCCAAATTCTTGTCAGATTCTCCTCCTTAAAACTAAGGGTTTCATTTTCCTGTTTTTTTTGTCTTTAGTTTTCCTACCACTTTATAAATTCTTAGACTGTATATGTTTAAAAAGTTTTCCTGGTTTTGAAATTTATCAATCTGTGTATATTTTGTGTCTAGTTTCTTCACCTTTTTGTAAATGTTTAAAACATTTTATTTCTGAGACAACAGTTGGTTATATAATATACAATTGGGATTAAGAGAAAACTGGAAAATGTAACAAAACATAATAAATTTATTACACGATGCCCTTCTTCAAGACATACTCTTCTTTTCTCCTCCTTGCTAAACCAGATTTTTTTTTCAATCTGGACTAGTATTTGTACTACATCGATTTGTAGTACAACAAAATGTCTTAAAATTGCAGCGTTTCACACAAAAGCATCAAGTTACAGGATACTACCATGCAGTCTGGCCAATTCCCCAATGCAATTTCTGTGTAAAAAGGTCACATCCATACTTATTCAGTGTTCCCGGTCAGAGATAACAGACTGTTTGTCCTGAGCTACATAACTGGGCAAGAAAGAGCTCACATTCTGCCTTTCCTCCAACGAGTTTTCCTCATTGCTCCTCTTTGGAGATAAGAGAAAATTGTAGCATAAAAAGTATTCTTTCCCCAGCCTTCTCTCACCCCTTAAACACATAGTACCTGCTTTATTTGTTATTTTATGTATATGACTGTTTTACTTGCATGTGTGTAAGTATACCACTTGTGCCTGTGCCTAGTGCCTGGGGGAAGCTAGAAATGACTCTTAGATCCCCTGCAATTTGGAGTTGCAGAAGACTGCGATTCACTGTGTAGCTGCTGAGAACTGGATCCAGGTCTTCTGGAAGAATAGCCAGTGCTCTTAATCACTGAGCATCTCTCCAGGCTCTGAGTACCTGACTTTTAATCATCTTCTGGGGTTTTTTAAAGTGTTGCTTTTTAAAATTTTTGTTTTTAAATTTAAATTTAAATTAGGAACAAGTTTTCTTCACATATCAATTCCAGGTCCCTCTTCCTTTCCCTTCCCTCCTCCTGTGCCCTCCTACCCACTCCTCCAATATCCCCTCATTTCCCCAGGGAGGGTGAGGCTCTCCATGGGGGTGTCCATAGTCTATCATTTAATCCAGGGCAGGGATGGGAATCCAAAGTCCATTTGTATGCCCAGGATAAATACTGATATACTGCCCAAAGCCCAATAGATTGCCTAGTCCTCCTCACAGACACACACTTTCAAAGGGGGTCTTGATCAGTCCCATGCTGGAATCACAGCCATCACTCTGGGATTCAAGAGCTAACCCTTGTCAGGTCAGCTGTTTCTGGGGGTTAAACCAGCCCAGTCTTAATCCCTTTGGTCATCAGGCCTCCCTCTCTGTCACTGGATTCCTTGAGTTCAGCTCAGTGTTTAGCTGTGGGAGTCTGCCTCTGCTTCCATCAGTCACTGAATGAAGGTTCTGTTTCCCAGACTCACTAGTCATGGGATTGTAGGCTGGCACTTCCCAGATCTATGTCTAAAATTCATATATGAGAGAGTACATGCCATGTTTCTCTTTTTGTGACTGTGTTACCTCACTCAGGATGGTTTCTTCTAGTGCCATCCATTTGCCTGCAAATTTCAGGATTCCATTGTTTTTTTTTCTGCTGAATAGTACTCCATTGTGTAGATGTACCACATTTTCTCTATCCACTCTTCGGGTGACATTAGGCATCTAGGTTGCTTCCAAGTTCTGGCAATTACAAATAATGCTGCTATGAACACAGTGGAACAGATGTCCTTGTTGTATGTATGTGAATCTTTTGTATATATGCCTAAGAGTGGAGTTGCTGGGTCTTGTGGTAGGTTTATTTCCATTTTTTTTGGAGGAATCTCCATACTGATTTCCAAAGTGGCTGTACATGTTGGCACTCCCACCAGCAGTGGAGGAGTATTCCCCTTTCACCACAACCTCTCCAGCATAAATTGTCGTTGGTGTTTTTGAATTTAGCCATTCTGACAGGAGTAAGATGGTATCTCAGCATTGTCTTGATTTGCATTTCCCGGATGGCTAAGGATGTTGAGCACTTTCTCAAGTGCCTCTCAGCCATTTTAGACTCCTCTACTGAAAATTCTCTGTTTAGTTCTGCAGCCTACTTTTTAATTGGATCCTTTGGTATTTTAGAGACTTGCTTCTTGAGTTCTTTGTAAAATTTGGAGATCAGCCCTCTGTCAGATGTGGGGTTAGTGATTAATTTTTCCCATTCTGTGGGCTGCCTTTTTGCCTTGCTGACTGTGTCCTTTGCCTTACCGAAGCTTCTCAGTTTCAGGAATTCTCATTTATTGTTGACCTCACTGTCTGTGTTAATGGTGTTATGTTCAGGAAGCTGTCTCCTGTACCAATTCTTTCTCTTCTAAGAGGTTCAGTGTGGCTGGATTTATGTTGAGGTCTTTGATCCATTCGGACTTAAGTTTTGTACATGGCGATAGACATGGATCTATCTGCATTCTTCTACATGCAAGCATCGAGTTATGCCAGCACCATTTGTTAAAGATGCTTTCTTTTTTCCATTGTATATTTTTAGCTTCTTTGTGGAAGATCAGATGTTCATATATTTATGGGTTAATATCGAGGTGTTCAATTCCATTCCATTGATCTACCTGTCTGTTTTTATGTTAATACCAAACTGTTTTCAGGACAACAGCTCCAAAAGAGCTTGAGGTCAGGGATGGTGATGCCTCCAGATGTTGCTTTGTTAAGTAAGGTTGTTTTGGCTAACCTGGGTCTTTTGTTTTTCCATACAAAATTGATTATTGTGTTTTCAAGGTCTGTGAAGAATTGTGCTAGTATTTTAATATGGATTGCATTGAATCTGTAGATTGCCTCTGGCAGGATTGCCATTTTTACTACATTGATCTTACCTATCCAAAAGCATGGGAGACCTTTCCATTTTCTGAGGGCTTTTTAAATTTCTTTCTTTAAAAACTCAAAGTTCTTGTGAGACAGGTATTTCACTTGTTTGGTTAGCATTACCCCAAGGTATTTTATGTTGTTTGTGGAAATTGTAAAGGGTAATGTTTCTCTGATTTCTTTCTCAGCCCTTTTATCGTCTGTATACAGTAGTATATGCTGATTTTCTTTCGTTAATTTTGTATCCTGAAACTTTGCTGAAGGTGTTAATCAGCTGTCCTAGTTCCCTGGAAGAGTTCTTTGGGTCATTTTTGTAAACTATCACATCATCAACAAATAGTGAAAGTTTGACCTCTTCCTTTCCAATTTGTATCCCCTTGATCTCCTTTTGTTGCCGAATGGTTTTAGCTAGAACTTCAAGTACAATATTGAAAAGGTATGGAGAGAATGAACAGCCTAGTCTTGTTCCTGATTTAAGCACACTCGCATTGAGTTTCTGTCCATTTAGTTTGATGCAGGTTGTTGGTTTGCTGTATATAGCTTTTATTATGTATAGATATGTTCCTATTATCCCAGATCTCTCCAAGACCTTTTTCATGAAGGGGTGTTGGATTTTGTCAAAGGCTTTTTCAGCATCTAGTGAGATGATCATGTGATTTTTGTTTTTCAGCTAGTTTATACGGTGGATTACATTGATGGATTTTCATATGATGAACCATCCCTGCATCCCTGGGATGAAACCTACTTGATCATGGTGAATGATTGTTTTGATGTGGTCTTGGATCCGATTTGCCAGTATTTTATTGAATATTTTTGCATCAATGTTCATGAGGGATATTGTTCTGAAGTTCTCTTTCTTAGTTGTGTCTTTGTTTGGCTAAGTGATCAAGGTTATTGAAGCCTTGTCAAAGAGTTTGGCAAAGACCCTTCTGCTTCTATTCCATGGAATACTTTAAGAAGAATTTGTATAAGCTGTTCTTTGAATTTCTGGTATAATTCTGCACTGAGGCCATCTGGCCCTGGTCTTTTTTTTGGGTTGGGAGACTTTTAATGACTGCTTCTAGTTCCACAGGGGTTATAGATCTATTTCAATTGCTTATCTATTCTTGATTTAATTTTGGCAAGTGATAGCTACCCAGAAAATAGTCCATTTCCTTTAGATTCTCAAATTTTGTGGAGAACAGGTTTTCAAAGTATGACCTGATGATTCTCTGTATTTCCTCAGTGTCCGTTGTTATACCCCCCTTTTCATTTCCGATTTTGTTAATTTGTATGTTCCCATTCTGCCGTTTCATAAGTTTGGATAATGGTTTGTCTATCTTGTTGATTTTCTCAAAGAACCAACTCTTCGTTATATCTTGGAGTCTACTCCTGCTGGGTGAGTTTGCTTCTTTGTGTTCTAGAGCTTTCAGCTGTGCTGTTAATTCTCTAGTGTGACTATTTTCCAATTTATTCATGTGGGCACTTAGTGCTATGACCTTCCCCCGTAGCACTGCTTTCAAAGTGTCCCACAAGTTTGGGTATGCTGTGAATTCATTCTCATTGAATTCCAGGAAGTCTTTAATTTCTTTTTTTATTTCTTCTTTGACCCAGGAATGGTGCAGTTACTCATTATTCAATTTCCATAAGTTTGTAGGTTTTCTGCAATTTGTGTTGTTGTTGAATTCTAATTTTAACGCATGGTGGTCTCATGATATGCATGGAGTTATTCCAATTTTTTGTACCTGCTGAGGTTTTCTATGTTGCCAAGTATGTGGTCAATTTTTGAGAAGGTTCTATGTGGTGCTGAGAAGAAGTTATATCCTTTTTTATATGGATGGAATATTCTTTATATGCCTGTT